CAGGAGCGTTGCTACAAAATCAAGAAATGTTTGTTTATGAAATTCGGGCTCATGGTAGTCTCATCTGACGGATGAGCTATGATCACCATTCTCAAGAATGGCTGCTGCAATTAATGGTATGACAAGAACTTGTTCCGCACTGGAAAGATTGCTCAAAGAAATGAACCAAATGTTGTATGTGTCGAAATATTTAGTGGTTTTGTAGAATGCGGATGAAATTCATGTCTTGAGGGCTTTAACCGGTCATCAAATAAGTGCTCGATTTCGGGTTTCGGATTAGGTCCGTAGACAGGTGTCGTTGCCTGGCTAGAGTCGTTTTTAATTAAAATGAGGTGATCTTTGTTGGAAGGTGGTGTTGAGGTGGGCAACTAGTAAGATACTTCCTATATGCAATAAAAACTGTCGGAAAACAATAACGATATTGCTGTACATGGGAAGAAACTGTTTCAGGCCTTCCGATCTTCAAATTTTCATTTCTTATGACTGTGTGTGTAATAGCCTTTTTTCTGCTAGATCATTACTTCTTGCCTAAGTAACTTCATTATCGTCATCGCATTAGTTGCGATGCAATTAGCCGGATAGTATAGGAAATAAGGACTTCGCTTCTAGTGCGCTTTTCCCTCTGTGTTGTGCCGACTGCGTTCGAAGTATTTACCAGGTTTTTTCTTTGGATGCCGGTTCGTGTATACCGCGTTTACTCAGGAATCCTTGTTGCGTCGCATATCTAACCGTGCTGTTCCACTGTATGTATTATTCTTATAGTGGTAATCCAGATTGGAGCACACGATTTTCACCAACCAGCTTCTTGTTGTTTGATGTGGCTCACGATGATCATACTACTTACATTTATCGGTTCATTAGATCACTATCACAGCCTTGTACGTGATCAACTTTTATCTCCAATGCATGCATCAAGGGACCATTCTGGATTTTACTACTATCAAGCCTCGTCCGAGATGCATACGAAGTCAGTGAGACCTAGGGCATATGGATTTTCACAGCACTAAAGGTGCCGTTAGCTGACAAACCGAGTGGGCTTTCTTCGGTTCTCAACACTATCCTGTGAACGCATGAAGCTTATGCCATTTTTGGTACTTATTTTACGCATTTCGGCCTTCAGTCTACTCTGATTCATCTCTTATATCGAACGACGTCTTGCTTTTCTCACTCCGTACGTAATGTTGTGGTATCAGCTCTCCACCTGATCTGGTCGAATTCTGCGTTTATCTCGCGCGTTCCGTACGGAAGTTGTGTTGCATAACTTTTGGTTCTTTTGTGCATTTCTTCGTGACATTGTCTCGTGACCCTTGTGTGTCGCTTTTTCACAGTTTCAATACATACGGCGCTGTGTGAAGAATGTCTGCAGACATCACTGGTTCACTCACTCCCAACTAGACTTTCTGTCTGGATCACATTCCGTTCAAACCGCTGCTAGATACATAAGGGTTTCGACATTTTTGAACTTCTTTTTCCAGTCGTGGCTAAATTGTGCTATTTTCTATCATAAGGTGTTTTGGTTTGTTATTGTTGGTGTTCCAGCTAATGATAGTGCATCTTTGGGGGAACTTGAGAAATAGTGGACGTTTGGCTGCGTTACTCCGATGAGAAGGGTTCATGTTCCGCCCCTCTCCGCCTAGGATGCGAGTCTCATTTTCCGGTTACTAAGTTGTAGCTGAAACCATCGTCGAGCCGCTTTCTTTTCATTTCTTCGAAATGTTTGGAAGATGACGATTATCCTGTTTCACGGATTTTAGTCACTCTTTATCTGTACTTCGCTGCCGTTTCTGACTACATAGATAGATGCTGTTGAGTAGCTTTGCGCGTAGTGTTCAGACGCATAAGTGGCGATGTATGCTTGAAAACTATACTATACATTATGGAATAGGATCAAGAGCAAGTTATCTACAACTCCAAACAGTAACGAGCTGAGTCAATGTGAATACAATATTGTAGTCAGACACCATCTTTTGCGAACATGACTTAATGAAAGCCTGGTCATGCAACTAAAGAAGTCTGGCTAAAAATAACATTTAGCCACTGGAATCGGCCAAGTAGCTTCCGACCATATGCAAGGGAATCCCATAGTATTCAGTTCTCCTGTATTCTCTCATTTCGCGCAGCCGTGTCATGACCTTCCCTCCTCGGAATGAAAAATAAGGAGCTTACCATGGTAGACTAAGGTGGGGCGTGTGTAGTACGTGCCCCAAACACGTTAGCCTGAAAGTTTTCAATTTGTTGCTCTAACGATTCTGCCTCGTTACTAAGCGCTTGCCTGCGCACCACTTCTTTGCTAAGATTGTACCTGGTAATGATAAGGCTCTTTGCGACGTACCTTCCCACAGTGACCACATTTCCTCTGCATGGAGCGCTTTTGGTCCCCATAGATAGCTCGGGCAAATTCCTGTTGACCTCACCACCTGCACTATAATGTCACCTGAATTGAAGATTGTACCTTTCTTCCTCCCAGTTCACCAACAGTTGGTTGTTCAACAAAAGATCGGTTGTTCTCCTCACGTGTCCCCACTGTTCAATAACTACAAGTCAAAGTATCAGTGGCAAGGCTCAGCACTCGACTACTCGTAATTCTGGAATACACACTTACTCGAATCTTGCCCTCGTTCTATGTAGATATGCGCCGGAATTTCTCGTTAGAGAGGGGAAACACTCCACATTCAACATCTAAGTGGCTTCTGAACCACCACCAAAGATGCTTGTGTGACGCCCTAAATCGGCTTTATCGTGATTGGGAAGAGATAATCACTACTTGTGGCGCTGGAAACTCAGCATTATGTTCTTTCCGAGCGCACTCACCACTGAATCTCAAAATGATCACTGTCATTCTTTGACATGGTGTTCCTTCAGGATCGGAATATAATTTTGTTAGAGAGTCTGTTGGACGTCAGCTTAGACGAATATTTAGTGTTAATAAGGAGGCGGAGTGGTGGAAGCTCATCAAATCGGATAGGCTAAGGCAGCAGGGTTTTCACGTGAGTTGTATCAGTTAAATCGCGAAGCGGAACCCAGGACGCCGCCTTTGATAAAAGCCAGCACTTAGATCGCCAGGCAGTATTTTGTCACCAACAGGTTAGTTGGTCACCTCCTTCTATAGATGCGTCTTTCATTCGATCCGCGCAAACTAAACAGTAGTCCGTGACTTCAGACTCTTCTCAGTTTATAATATGGCTTTCTACCTCTCGTAAAGCGCAAACCGGCTGGTGTGCCAGATAACCTTCCAAGAGCAGTATTAAAGGAGGGTCTTTTTGTTTCACCTTAAATAGGCTGTTATGGAAGCCTCAAACTTGTGTGTAGTCACTATACATACAAATTAGTTCTTGTGTATTTACCTAACGGGGATTCTCTTCTTCGGAACTGTAGCTGCTGGAACCGATGTGCCTATGGCACACGGTTTATAGCTGATAAATTGATTGAATTGGTTGAAACATGCACTGTGCCCTTCATTGCCACATTTATGATTATCTCGGAGTATACACCGAACCATCCAAATATATTCCCACGGCTGTTGTGGTTGGGCAACACTGCCCCTTCACCATTTATGCTCAATTTTGTCATCGATATTATCATGAAGGAATTATGATTCTCCGTATCGAAATCCAATCCATAGAAACATCAACAGACTTAGGCTGGGTTTTCGGCGTTATTTTGTTGTCTGAAAGGATGTTATCGGATGTGATCTCTTGCATTTTTCTGTTTTCCTTACGCCTTCAATGTGTGGGGTACTCAAGATTTTCAGTCTTCTCTGTGTCCCTTTACACTAAGAGGAACTTGAGTTTGTTGGGCGGTTTGCTTACCTGAGCAGCTGCTCGAGCCGTGGTTGTACTGTAATGGAAGGAGGCGATATATGCATACGTTTGCCAACTTCTGTCAATTGTCGCATCAGAAACGACTATCAGTGAAGCCAAAGTGCAGCATGTAATGGGAGCCTGATAATGATCAAACCTGGTCTCCCGGCCCGAGAACGCTTGATCATCAGTAGGATGTGTCAGCTGGCCCCAGCGTGTTCGCAGTCAATCGCTACTTAAGCGACCACTTGGTAATGAATCATAATCAGTAAGGCATGAGAGAAGTGGTTGAGGTGTGCGCAACATAGGTCAAACCACCTTTTATCAAATAAAAGCGCTGTTTTCTATCCGAAACCCGTTGGCGAGAGGTTCGCGGAGCGAGGGGGTAGTTTATGATTTTGAAGCCGAAATGAATGGAGCTGCTGTCAAACTTAGTACCGTGGGTTTTTTTCGCTTCTTTCGTCGGTGTCTACCTCATTCTTTTTGCACTTTGCGAGAAACTCCACAGGATGTCACCCAATTGGTCTCAGTTGTGAGCATTCTGTCGCTTTCCAGCCTGACTGACTAGTCCAATTTAGTCGTCGTATGCTGAGTGTTGGATGAGGTTCGCAAGGGACGTTTTGGTCAATCGAATTAAGGGCATCTTACCCCCGATATGATGCACAGACGCCTTTCTTTTGTTGTTCCACTTAGCACTTAAACTCCAGACCTCCTTCTTCCTGTATACCGGGGCGTTCTATCCACTGCTGTCGGTGACGCTGATGATAAGACGAAGAGTGGCCATCTATACAATTGGTTATGAAGTGTTTGTGTGATTCTGGTGTGACTCTTCTTCCGGCGCGGCGCAGCTCTCTGGATTGCACGTGATAGTTTGGAAGTGATGTCACTGGTGTCCTAGTTGTCAATTTCTCTCCTGTTCGTTTAACTGAGTATTTGGGGGATTTGCGCACCTGAAAGTGGGTTAGCGCAACTCTACTCTTCTTTGACTGCTGGTGTTTCCTAAAACATTTTGGTGTGGTTGTACCGCAGTGATGCGATTCCACTCTCAACACTGATGGTGTCCCAAAGTTTGTATCGGTTTAGGAATTGACGTAACGTATTTATCGATCGTCCATGCATTTTTACGTCGTACGTGTGATCTACTCTCTCCTGAGTTTTTGTTTCAAAATTCCAATGTCTTTATCGCTCCTTATTCTACAGTACCTGGAGGAGGTTTGCGGCATCAGTCAAGGATCAAACACTTTAGATTTAGGTAACCTTGATTACCATCGCTGTTTGCAAGAATGGCTATTGCTTCACGAGCGCAACACACAAGGTCGCTCCAGTCTCTCCCCAAGCACAAAGTCTAGTCATTATCATCTGACGGATGGACCTAGTCGTTCCTCTCCGGGTATATCGCCGCTCGGCACCGAGGAGTTCCTTAGTGCAGACAGTAAATCAATCTTTTCAAGTACGTCCCAAGATATATTTATTACCTTCGTCTTGAGTGTTATTTATTTATTTGGTAGAAATTCTCTTCGCCCATTTTAGTTCATCCATTTCTCGTCTCAAAGACTTGTCTATCTCTCTTTGTCGCCGGATATCAATTGTTTTGTAGTGAGTCCAGTCAACAATTGTTCATTTACTGAGCGATGCACTAATAGTAGGTTCTGGGGACGTTGCATCTATTTATCTCAATTAACGGCTCGACTAGCTTCAAACTGCTTACGAGAAGCGTGGTTGTCGCGTGCTTTTTTGTTCTTCTAATGGATTTGTTTGTGACTATCTGACTTAACATTCTGCCTCGGGCTGTACAAGAGGTTTCGTATGCACAGTAAATCACACACATTAGTCGTTTGAACGCTCTTCCCCCTATCCCGGCGTAGTTAATTTGTTGCGTCCACACCAAGGGGCGAGTACGGACATGGGGAGGGCTGATCAAACGAGTGATGTGAATGTAGATTCTACGAGTCCCATCTGTAAGTACGATAATCCCTGCGACATATACATCATTCTAGAATGTTAATTTGTGTTCTTCTAACGCGGTTGATGTCACCTAGCACTTTTTTCCAGTCAACTAAATTGAGTCACCTGTCATTCCTTGAGTGATTGTTGCTTGTTTGCAAGACACATCATGTGTCAAACTTAGGAAGGTATCAGGTTTGAGCGACCACTACCTGTCTGCCATGTTGGTGACAGAATACGGACCTTAAAAGCTCGCATGCAGACGTTTGCTTTTAGGGTACAGGGAACTGGGAAGGGAAATCAGCGAACGAATAAAGTTGAGGGAAAATGAGGAGTGGGCTTGGATGGGAAGTCCCACATTATGCCTGACTCATAAGGCAGTGAATGGGAGAATGATTTACTCGAGGGCTTTTGTTTCCAAAATATAAGCCGCGAGACAATCGGCTGTTGAGTTTTCTTGATGAAGCCTGCTCGGAGCCAACGATCCATTAGTTGAACCTGCCTGACTGCAGGGTAGTCCGAGGAAGTATGAAGTGAAACATGCGTCTCACTCCCGATGCCACCACTCAGCACAAATGCGTTTGGATCTGCATCAGGTTCTTCGTTGGTTTCAATCGTATTTCGACCGTATTTTTTGGTTGGCCGTCAGTCGTGCTCCGTTGAATGATCAGAATGTGTGGTTATTCGGGCCTTTCCTTCCTCGAGCAAGGCGATATCACTCTCTTCATAAATATTGTTTTGCTAGTCGCTTGGAGGAAATGCCTTCCTAACCCCATCGGAGGGAACACTCCACATAGGTCTTCCCTCATTCGGAGGTCCTATGGAAAAGGTGTAACGTTAGCTCCATGACCTAACCGAGCTAAACCGATGGAGGAATGACTGATCGGTCTCGTCGTCTTGTTCGGAGAGATCTTGAGAAATTAAAGAAAATCCTGGGGCGATAGTGTGTGGGGTATCTTTTCCACACGGACAGCACTTGGATTCTGTGACGTTTTGGGAAGACTGCTTACGCTTTGTGAATACTATGTAACTTGCAAGCATTGGAAACTAATTTTCAATTTGTTCTCAAGTTGCCTTTGAGTACATTGCAAAGGTGTGCTTTCACATGCACTTGGTTTAGTTGCTAATTCCTGCCTGCCCTAGTCTATCTCACTGATTTACCCGCCGCCTACACACAGAACCATTATCGTAATTGCAAGCTGTCACCATTTCCTCCGCTTCATTTCGCACTTTTCTAAAGTCTGTACAAGCCTTTCTCCACAGTGTTCAATTATTTGTTCCAAAATGCTTTTTGGGTTTAACCGTGCGATACTAATTTGTGGCTATCTACGACATTTATCATTTAAACCAGTGTTTAATCGCGTTGTAGACTCATCCCATTAATTATGCGAACTACCTGCGTCATTCGGAACCCTGGCCTACGCGCCCGATAACATCTTAGAAAAGCTGTTCCGTGTTTGGTAGGGAGAGACAGGGAAGGTTTTACAGTGGCCACACAAAATCTATACGGCCCTATACTGTCTCATTCCACCCTTCACTACACGCGCCTCTTCCAATGATTTACCTGATATTTGGATGCAAATATTCGTTTTTACACCCTCCGTTAACCCGTCAGGTCCCGGATTGATCACTGGCTCGGCACCAGCTCCGAGCGCTCCTTTGACAAGTTGTTCCCGTCTCAATTCTCCAATGGCTTCCGGCGTTTTGATTGGTGGTTCACGGGGTTCGAACTTGGCTGATTCATCTTCACGAATGATGCGCACGCGTTGTACTTCGTTAAGCGTCGCAGGCACTGGGCTTGCGGCTGAGTTCATTTCACCAGCCGCGCGCTTACCAGGCATAGATTTCTCATCTGGTCAACAACAGCAATTGAGGCACCAGCGCTTACTTCCATCTCACCCTCTCTCTTCACAAGGTCGAGCGGTGCATGTTACACAGCACGCGGCTTTGCCCGAACAGCCTACCCAACCAGGCCGTGGCTCCTCCATTATTACCACTCAGACTGGACAGTGGCAACCACACCAGACATCACATCCACAAAGCCAGTTCCCCTTGCAAAATAATCCGTTCTCAAAGTACCGGCATGTGCATACACGTCCGACTGGATTTTCTATGGATCAGAATATGGATGTGTCGGGTCTTAGTGCAAGTCTACCTGTTAATGTCAATCCACTCCTTTGCGGATTACAAAACCATGATGAAATAAAGGCGAATGACCTTGGAGTGAGTTTATAATGGTTACGCACTGCTATCTTGCTGGCTATACCTTTGTTTAATAGTTTGTTTTAACTGGTACGCTCGAACTTTATTGCCTGATTCCTTTAGCTGTGTCCAGTCTATACATAACACGAATATCACAGTTGACCGTACAGCATTCATCCCAAACTGTCAGCTTTCCATGCTACAATGGGCTTTTGCATTGGTATCAACATCACAAATGTCTTCCACAATTTGGGACCCGTGTTGCGACAACTTTAGAAATATTAATTTCAAGAACAACATATACTGAAAGGTGGGCTGTCTTGAATGTTGAATGGGCTGTTCTGTCATTGGGCAGAAGTGACGCTTCCATACCGGATAACTTTGCAGCAATAGGCTTATCGGCTTCCCCCAGTTTTAGACATGATCAGTTTGCAGTAAATGTTTTTTCTGATCTTTCCGGTACAGTAATGTGAGTCATAGCAGAACGGTCTTAGCTGCCACGTATATTTCATACCACAATTTACCTACTGTCCAAATAAAATTGTCACAGGAACATCGTAGCAGTTCTTCTCACTCTTATGATAGTTCTTTCAGCTGTTATTATTATTATTATTATTATTATTATTATTATTATTCTATTACATTACGGAAAACAAGAACTAATGCATCGTTCAGCAGTGTCAGTGGGTTAGGCCCACCTCATCAGGCTGGCTTTGTAAATACATTGGAGCTGCTTTTCGCTACCTCCTGTCTATCAGGATAACAATATCTTAAAGAGTTCTCTACTTTGTGTGTAAGTTTTCAAGTTAATTCAAGTTTTGTGTGTTTACCGGATAATGATTTCGTGCATTTATCATCAAAGCAATGGGAAAATCACACTCTTCAGTTCGTACGTTCGTTTATCTCCGGTTTGTTTTTACACTGACTGTGATTTTTCCAACAAAATTCGCTTTTTCCAAGCGCCTTTGATCGATAGAACTCCCTCGTTACACTCTCCTACTTGATTGAAAGCTGTTATCGCTTTAAGGGTAGGAGCTGTGCTCCCAAACTGTAGATATTCATTTCATGAGAAAACATTCATTAGGTTTAAAGAGATGTTAGTGTGTCCCTGCAATGTTTTGCCCGAATTTTCCTCATACTCGTCTCTTTTTGATTATTTTTCCCAAACACTGATATCCTCTGGTGTTCTTGCCAATGCGTTCTGATTGTAGTGAGCAATCAATAGCTTTTCCGGTTATATCACTGTCCACGTGCACATTAGCGTTATTTGGAAAGACTAGACACCATTGAGGTGAATCACGGTTTGTTCTTTCGTGAATTCAAGCGCGAAGTTACAGCTTCGGATGTACGGGTTCGTCAGGTACAGCAATACCATTCGGTAAGCGATACCCATAATGTGGGAACACTGGAATTCCCCGTGGACTTATTGCTCAAATTGTCCCAAGAATTTAGAATTGTTGTTCCCGCGAGCAACTCTCTCTCTCTTAGCTGTTACATTTGATGTTAGATTTTCTAACGTTCACTTAAGAAGGTGCCTAGCTAAGAACTAAGAACGAACAACAGTTGTTATCAGACCTAATGCGTGATCATTTGAGTGTGTGATTAAGACATCTATCCTTGATGCTGACAAACATGGCGTACCCGTTATCCGAATTTGCTTGTTTCTTGTCTCGCTGACCGCAGCTCTATCCCCTAAGCCTGACATCCCATGAGCCCAAGTGACAGGGCGGCGATGCCCACTAGTTTTAAAAGCCGTTTCTTGTTAGAGCCACCCTCTTGCAACTCATATCCTCGATAAAGACTATATGCTGTCTAGACACGGTGTGTTCCCTACAATACCGTGGGTTGTGCCTAACTTTGAACACAATGACGTTTTAATCGTTTTATAGGTGAAACTCGTAATATGGTGGCTTGTGTCACGAGGATACTTCTTCTTTTTCATTTCAGCTTTTGGTAGGGGTATTTATTGCTAATTTCGTTGATGGCAGTCACCTGGGGGCTGTTCGTCGGTGGGATAATTATTCTGCCGTTTAGCTACCAATCAACTCTGTCTGTACAATCGTGGTCACAGCAAGTCCTTTTTATTACCATTGTAGGATTAAAATCTACTCCGAAAATTCATTATGAATGGAAAACCAGCCTTTGTACATAACAGAAGGCCATTAACCAGCAGATTCATATACGGAATAGACTGGCAAAATGGTGACAGATCTCACCAGCTTCTGTGACGAAACACATGTACAGAGTAAGCTAGGGGCTTCTTGTCTTATTTACATAAGAGGCATTGTGGGTTGTGTCAGTGACTCATACTGGGAGCAGTCGGATAACATACCTGTCATGTAGATAGCGAGTGTGTACCTATTTACATTACAATTCTGGTTCTTTCAAGTTCAGCTCAATCTCTTGAGGTCGTTCGAAGTGTGAGAGATCCAGGGCAAATGCACTTAATGTCTGTGTATGATACAGCTAATCCACATACATGAAATCTTTCCAAATGCAAAAATGTTTGAAGACAGCCTGCCGAAGTGAAACGGCTGAACAGATAAACAAAGTAACGAGAAACTCGAACTAGGAGGGACCCACCAAGGCTCCTGGATGTTTGGCCAGTAGTATGTAAACATGAACATACAGTCATATTATTGCCCTTGCTCACTGTTCAAAAGTGTCCCTTTTTTTAGAAAACTTCCGCCTCGCTGTTCCTTTCGCTTAGTTATAATTCTTCCACAAATTGTCGATACTCACAATCCAGTATAATCGCGTCAGCAAGTGCTTCCAAGGTAACTTCTTACAATGCTCATCTGGTTTGTCGATTGATGATTGATCAGGTGGCCGTTGATCTGTTCACCGATCTCATTAGTTATCTTACCACTAAAGCGTGCACGGATGATATCTGTTCGCCTGGGGACGAAGCATTTGCAAGCCAATTGCTAGGCTTGGCGAACAGATGAACAGTCACCTGATCAACCACCAGTAAATGCATCCGAACTACCAGCAGTTCGATACATTTTCTAAGTTGTCAACTTTGTTTTATTGATACGATACCAGGTAGTGCTCCTCAAGACATGGCGGAAATCCTCGGACATTGCATGCAAACCGGCTGTAGGTGTGTGTGTGTGTGTGTGCGAAAATGGGTCCCCCACGAAATTTCTTCAGTTTGCATGTTCTCATAACGGCTTCCCATATTTTTTTTGCTTCTAGCTTCTGGCCTTTTATCTCTGCTTTCGAGTTTTTTTTTCGGATAAAATTTGGTCATCCGATTAGCAGAATTCTGGAGTTCACTTGGAAGGATTTGTCAAGTGCTTGATCTTGATGGTCTTCCGTACATGTTTTGGATAATTATCTCTGCTATTTATCAGGAAAACAATGAGAGAACCGCACATTGCCTGTTGGTTGTGTTTCCCTTGAGTACCTTCTGTAGTGCCTTACCAACAAGCGTAGACTTTCAGAAACTCTCATCCTACTGAGGCGTTTCGAACGATATGTGTCTTCATGGGTGAAGATGCAATGTGAAATTGTACAAGTCCATTTCTTGGATGTAGATTGAACTCTATCCAGAACTTTATCTTCAAAAGCGCGGTGGTCTCCCCCGAACGCTCATCACCAGCCCCTACTGCTTCATGGGTTGTGCCTGTCACAGATCCTATGACGAAATGTTATCCCATGGAATTTTCACAAAATGCTTGTGTTCACAAATAACTATGGCGTGCGAGTCGTTCGACGACAAGGAAACAGGACGTCTCAACGAAACGTGCTCGCCAGCTACTCGCATGTTTTAGACTCGGGCATAGTGCGCCAAATGTGCACGATATTCACTCTGTAGCAGGTTCTAAACCCATTCTATCAGTATGGTAAGTACTTTTTCCAAGTTACACCGTAGAATCCTCTGGCGTGAAGTAGAAGGATTCAAAGCGATCTCATATTTCATGTGACGCAACGAAATACAAACTCAATTCCCCCCTGCCTATCCACGTCTTTGGCGGAAGCACTTGTTCGAGCAACCATTCATTGTAGTGCATAGCGGTGGGTTGGTGGTTGTGCTACGCACTACTACGCTCCCCAGTAACGCACTGATGATATCACCTCGATTGGTGATGAAACGTTTGCAATCAAATTGCCCAGCTCAGAGAACAAGCCAATGACCACAACCATTCATTCGTTGCTTTGTGCAATGCACAGAACGTACTGTTACTTGCACGTGACCATATTCGATGGCAGCGATGGCATGGCCCTCTAAATGATCACGCCGCGTGTCGCTGATGACAAATACCCCAGAGTAATTATTTACGGTGCTGCAAAAAAGTTATACAAACCGACGCTCACCATTTGTATTCAACCATATGAAGGTATCGCTTTTTCATTTATGGCAGAATGGCACAATGTCAAAACAGGTGAGTCCAAGAAGTGGAGTAACTAGAATTACGAGAAAAAACAAAACTGAAGCCAAACTAACATTTACCATCACAACGAATTGGTTTGATTTGTTACGGGGATACGTCCATGTTTGTAGTTTGAAGCTGAAGTCAAGACACCACGCGTCTGTTTGGTGTGGTTATTGATCCGTTCTGACCAGACAGCTGACACAAACAGACCATTGTTTCGGTTGACACACGCAGGCTGAATGTGAACCGTTGGAGACTGCGCACAGCGTGTATCGAAAGCCTCGTTTCGGTTAATGTAGCCGAGTTGCTCGAACAAGGCCTTGTGATTCTCTGATAGGGCTAGGAGAGCACTGACTGAATTGTTCTTCAGCTTACGGTATTTTGACGCGAAACACGGGCATCTACCTTATGTTCAACAATTCGCACTCAATTATGTACTGAGTATGTATGTCCCATTTAAGTAGCACATCTCATAGCAAATTTCATGTTTAGTTTGGTCACTGGGATACTGGGTCCCTGCTCGTTTATTTTACTATCGACTGTAAAAAACAGTACATGTGTTGATACCAGCTAAAAATATTGGAATTTATTCAGAAGCCTGTGGACAGTAGATCTGCATGGTCGATAGAAGGGTCCCGCCTTTAGGCTGTTTAGTTGTCTTTGGCTGTTTAATCACCCCCTCCCCTCTCTAAACTACTAGGTAGTTGTTTTGGTACAACATATTTTCGGCGATGTTAATTTAATCAGATTTAGACAGTTTGTCTTGACAGATCCCTTTTGCTGTTTTTGTCAATGGCTGCCCCATATCCACCGGACAACGTGGAATAATCCATGTATCGTTTAGAAAGAGCTGATATTCTGTACACAGACATATCAAACCTCGATTCACCAGCTGTGAGAAGACAGTATTACAGTTCGATTCACGCTCTCAATTACACACGTCGAACTTGCGCTATTGCGTGGGGATTTCAGAAAAAAAACTTGTAGGTCACTGGAAAACGTTCACCGAAAGACTACATACATATCGTGGACATTACGCTGCCGAATTCGCGCTTGGTATCGAAAATGGATCGCTAGCTGGTTGTTCTCGGAAATGTCCACCAACCTATTAGGATAAAGCATCACTTGTATTGCTGGCTTTAACTCGTAGTTTTAGGTGGATTGGCTTACGTCTTTCGTCTCTTCCAAACAGGTCTCCTTCCTTTAATACCCTTTTTCGCGTGCTCATGAACTTTTCGGAATGATACTTTTGCAGAAGTAAAAGCTGTTGGGTTCATCAGTCTTTTACGCAGCACTAATATCGCGGACTGGCTGTACCAATTTATTCAGAAGTCCAACTCGAAATTCACGCGAGTCGTGACACAAAGTAGCTGGAAAGCTTAACACTGGAAAAAGTTGACAGCTTAGGAAATCAAAAGGTCCTCTTTTTTTAAACAAAAATATCACAGCAATCAGAGAACCAAATTGTAACGTGATAGAAACGACAGCATGCTTGGAAAGTATCCGTGTTTGAGTAGTACCTGCAATCATTTCATTCACTCGCCACCGATTTGATTAAGCTACGAAATCACTTGATTGCACGCAGTTTTTCAAGACCAGTTTACGTTCTCCTGGCGCAGGATGCATTTATTTGGATAACACGGTTTACGGAGAGTTGGGGATGCGAGGAATGACTATATTCATCTCTGCGTTTATTGCACTGAGACATTTCGAGGATTGGTCTTGAAAGATTGATGGTTGCAAGTAATGTCACCACCACTGTCGTAAACAACTGTCTCAATACTGAGGAGTATCATCATACTCCCATGCAACCGAAGCGAGTTTATTCTGAAAATCTTGGAGGAGGAGAAGCCAAATGAATGAGCAAGGGAAGAGCCTGACACCTGCCTGTCACAATCAGTTCGAGGGGACTAAACCTTCGTATCTTCACTCCGACAGTTGGGATGGAAGTGGGCAACACGGTCGTCACCTAAATCGGTTGCCTGACCCATCTTGCAATGTCTGAAGCCAAGCGCGGGGACAGCCAGGCGAATCGCGTCAACAGAATCCAGGCTTCGTGTAAACTCGTTCATACCCTTCTGTCAATTTTATTTGGCAGCTTGCACCGTTTTGACGGAGGTTTAGGGGACATTCCAGTCTCACTGTTTGATCATTAAGCGTCTTTACCACGCAGTTTATAGTGATGGTTTGGTTAGTTCACCTTCACTTGGACAACTCCGCTGAACCTCTTACAGTATGAGTGAATATAACTTTGATAGACGATTCGCTTAGATGCTGGAACATAAACTTAGGGGACGTTAAAAATGCTGAATTTTCGTGATACTGAAAGTTGTAAAAAAAAGCACTTTATGCTAAAAAGTTCTCTCGATGATTTATTTTCATTTCATACGGTATCCGAACGTTTCGGTTGGCAAAATCCGATCGATGAGATTCTCGCTGCAAATATAGTCACACAGTAGCGTTCCGAGCTTGTACACATTCATTGTCAATAGGCCACAAAATTTAGAACGAACTAGCCTCTGTCACATAGCTCGTGTCACACTCCTAAAATTTTGAGGGAAAACGGAATTAGATTGGCCAATTAAGTTGCTTAGATAAACACTATTAGAGCTGGTAGCACTGAGCCTGATGGTCAAGAGTTGAGTGATGGTTGCGATAATGGCACACAGAATCAGTCTGTTGATCGGATCGATGCTCGATATGAAATGTGAAGTCAAGCCTTCGAGGTCTGGTTAGTGGAGTTGGGAATAAGGTCATGAGTGTTAAGGAACCCAAAGTCAAATTCTTACTGACATTTGTCTCAACAAATGGGAAACGTGGATGTCGAATTAAGTTGCCTCACTACTCTTGGGAGATAAATGTAAGTTGTTTTCGGTATTTTCGTGGGTTGTTACTAAAGGTCTCTACTTTCATCGCAGTTCAAACGATCTGGTGTGAAGTTGCGGTCACTGTCACCATTCTTGCGCTTATTTGACATAGGCATTTGACCAAATATGACTCCGTCATCCATCCGCATTATGTTACTTTTTTTCTTTGAAGAATTGTCTGTCAACAAAGTGTATCTATTTTATAGATCACAGGCATTTGGAATCAATGTTATAGTATGCTTAGTCTGGTAGTTTTTGGAATAGTTCTGGGCGTTAGTGGCCGATTCTGAGGTTTCGATCAACTATATGTCTAAATATGAGAAAGCGGAATTCAAAACAACTAAGTGAACATAGGTAATAAGTTGTGTTAACCGGGTGAAAGACCGTCTCACTATCGAATGCGCCTGCTACTTATTCGTTCTTTCTCTTAATTTTAGCCTCTGGTGTCACATGTAGCCATAGGTACCTATACATCACTAGACGGAGTCTGAATAAAGAGATAAATGATGGAACCAAGTGTTACTTCGAAATATGATTGGTTAGCTTGGTCACACTCGCGAGTGGCATTGTGGAGACAGCATCTCAGTTTGACGATATTCGTTTCGCGATAGTGGATGAGCCGGTACCACTCTTTATACGAATGTTTTCTTCGTGACATTGCTGTTTGAGGTGCCACTTACAAATGGATGGAACTACGGAGTCCACTCACTCGTTTCTCATTTTGTTTCGTGTATATGCGGCATGCAATTCCTTCATTCCATCTCCGATGTGCTGATCATACTATATCACTTCTAATTGGTCTAATTCCGGAACCCACCGATTCACACCTTTTACCATTTAGTGAGATTAGTTTGTTTTCAAACATAACACAAAGTAAGATCCAGTGGAGGTTCTTGTTCTTGTTTTCCCCTATGGGAGAGCCAAAACAAAATTTATATGCAGCTTTTTGCCTTTGCCGGTCACCACCGCAGATAGGTCTAACTGTTGTCACTGATTCCCCGTTCGGCTTCATTCACCTGCGGTTTGACTGCGATTGTTTGCGATCTGCTTGTTTACATGCTGGATACCTTGCATGGCGATTCGTGTGGTTTCGCTATAGTTGGGTGGTCATTTGATGTGACGTGGACAGTTTTTGCATCAGGATTGGAGGGTCGGGATGTGACTGCAGGAGGCGGTATTCTTCTGTATCTTTTGGACTTTTTCTAATCCGTGTTCTGAGTTTTCTTGTGTACCATTCCTTGTCCGCAATCCAGTTCCAGTTGCGGTTTTCCGCATGTCCCTCTTTTGAATTACTCCTCACGCTTTAGAGTGCCAAATTCGTAGTTTTGTCGACTCTTCTTAGCCTATGCCATTCGATAGTGTTTTAGCAAACAATGAAACAATGATGCCTTCATTGTCATCCATTGACTTGCATGCATGAGGACTAGTCCAACAAACATTGTCTGCGTTTCTGTGTGGACCATGTCTACTTTACGATTTGCTGGCAGTTTGTTTTTCATCGTTTCCTTTGCTTCACTTCCTCTTCGCGTTTTCTAGTTGGCTCATGTTTATTCGTTTGAGCGGGAGGAATTTATTCCACAAATGAAAACTGAACCACCCTCCGATCCGGACTCACAAACGGGCGAACTGAACTTTACCGACTCCGGTCCTCCTACACTTGATATTAGCACGAGCCAGTTCGAAGCACTCGTGGCGTCTGTTTCTCCACCGTCGAGTTCGTCACGATTGGCCGCTGCAACACTCAGCATGCAGAATCCGCTTCATCAGAATGTCGATTCTCCCACCAACGCCAGCTTTGACACTGACGATTTCCGATTTGACGATGTTCCAATGGAGTGACTTACTCCACTTCCAGCTGCTTTACTTAATGTGATGATGAGTCTACCCGACTCTTTTGGAGCAGATTCTAGGAAAAGGGTGCCCCACCTTTAGACATTGTCATAACTTCCCCTATTTCACACAGAGTTCCTGACATTGTTTTCACCAGACGCGAGTTCACTCAGCTGCGCTCATCTCGTCGAGATCGACCCTTTGGTAGTCAGCAGTTGCTTGACAAATGCATGGTTTCCCACTTCTTCCCTCCATAATCTGGCCTACCCCTTCTTTTTCTCGTCCTTGTTTCTGTCTTTCGCGCTTGAATGGTCCATATTTTACTTATTGGATGATTATCGGGCATTTGATCCGTTATTTCCTTACTCCTCTGTCACCTTGGATGTAGCCGCATTTTCGCCGTACTTTTGTGCCTTGTGATGATGATGGTTATGTGCCGTTCGGTTATCCTCCTGGTGTACTTGTGTTTGTTGCTATTTTATACCTGTGCCCAATTCATTAATTAACCAATTGTGAGTGCGCACATACACTGAGTTTTTCGTTATGACTCTACCCCGTTCCCTACAAGATAGATTAACCCAGAGTGAGATATTTTAGTTCACTCTTATTTCTTATCTACGTGAATCGACCCAAGTTTCTTCCACCGCTGACCCTGTGTACATACTCCAAGGCCACTTGTTCCCTTGCAAGCATCACTTCATCAGTTGTTTTGGTCACCTTGTTCATCATCACCAGGAATATTCATGCAATAGTGTGGCATATATTTCTTCACTTTATTGCGTGGCTTTTCAGACTGTCAACTTTCCATGTTTGTTGTGGCTTTTGTCATCTATTTGCTTCACTACTGCATACGTTCACCGCTGTACTCATTTCTCTCTCTATGATTTTTTCATCATTGCGAGCAACTGTTGTGTTTTCACCAGGAAAACAACTTTTTAACGCCCACAAGATTCCTTTTTGTCTTCAATTGTCCCAGCCGACCATTATCATCATCACCATCATCTAGTGTGTCTCTATCTCCGAGCGCCATACACACGATTTTGTATTCTATTTATTTTGTTTATCGCAGTGCGTATCGCTTGTTTTGCCCATACTTGCGCTCTGTGACCCGCTTTTATTCCATTATCACCTGTGGATTTTTAAACCCTTAATGATGATGCTGGCGATGCATAAACATTTTTTCAATCTCGTGTTTTTTCTCTCGCTCATTTCGACGTTCTAGAACGTGACCTGATTTCGAGTGCGAATCTTGTCTTCGTTTTCCTCGTGTTGCATAACCTTGGCCTTACTCGCGACCAAATCCGGTTTGACGAAGTCTGACAACCGGTTTCTTGACTTCAGTCTGGCCGAGTGCGTGACCGTAGCGCACCTCCTCGGATCTCAGGACCATATGCTGTTGATGGTTTTCGGTTAAATCCCCTTGGGTAGTTGACACACATACAATTCTTGACTCCGATTTCACGCCTTCATATTCTCCCTGAGGCTTTAGTCATTTCTCAAGTCGCCCTCGCTCATTTAAAAAAAAACTTTTTACCGTACCAACACAAGTACATGGTTTAGCGATGAACGACTGGTTCGGGACGTTGGAGTACCCCGTGAAATATTTTTGTGCCACTGTGGTTTTGTTTCCGTGTAGTTGCGTGAACTTCGTTAATGGTGAATAACGGTAACTAACTGATATCACGTTCAAGTAGAACATAAGTTTGGTTGAAACTCAGAAACCGTGCCTGCATGATGAACCCGTAATAGGACAAAATCAGCCGTAGATTGTCGGTGTTTTCAGCAACCTTATGAGTACCTCATTATTCTTGATTCTTATGTTGGACAAAATCATAGATTGTCGGTGTTTTCAGCAACCTTATGAGTACCTCATTATTCTTGATTCTTATGTTGTGGTCGCAGTGCGTCAGACTGTCATGTGAGACTTCTATGGGTTTTCGGCTTCGAGACATTTCATCTCCTCTTGGTTCGACCATTTCAACCCGTCTGCACATCAGCCGGGTTGGTGTCTATGGTGGGATGCGTAACTGAACGATGTCTCCTTTGACGGTCATGGGAGAACTTACTGCACTCACTTTCGTCTGAAAACCCGTTTGAATCCATGGTAATTTCACTGAACAAGGCATAGATTTTACGCCAGGTCGGTTCTCAGGAGAACTGTCGCAGAGCATGAACCGTAGTTTATTGTATTGGATCATATTTTAGAATATCTGATGAGGACCTGGTTGAGTCTCCATGTTCATCCTATCAGCTGACACAATATGCTACAACAGTTGGTTGAAATTGCCGATCAGACGACCGACTTTGAGCAAAGCGCAGCACGGACCTTGACGTCAGATCGGTGATTGTTCCCGATAGTCTAGTGTGTAGGATTTTGAAATACCAGTTTGACTACTTCGATTCGGCTCCCCTAGGGGCTTGCAAACTTGCTACATGCGGTGACCCAGCGAGCAAGATACGCTTTTTTTTACCTGAGACAACTGACGCTAAGAGTTCGTAGTGTATAGCCTGCGGTGAGCGGACTTGCTTACACACAGAAAGGACAACAGTGGCATATATGTCTCGCTGGGCCTTCAGTGTGGCCTGAATGATTTTATGCGATCTATCAACCTTTGTGAAGTATTTGATGGTCACCAACATTTTGAATTTCAGTGACGTTTTTGGTATTAGGTCAATCGCTTGTGACATGGTGAAATATTAGGGAGGAGCGATGAAGTTCAGAAGCATTTGAATCAAAACGCGTTCTGCAGTGACCATAAAGCACCGGTATGCTGTTCCACTCTTTCTCAAACTCATCGTTACAGCGTGGAACAATGGGGAAGAGTGCAGTTGGGCTCTCTTCAGATAAGCAACCCTTTTACAAACAGTACAAGCAAACGACAATGAGGGCACTTCAAATTTCTGCACTATTGTGATGGAACCTCAGAGCTGTCCAAGTTATACTGATCTTCCCAAACAACACACTCTAAGCACGTACACTTCCTCCAAGGTCATAACTATTCCGACCTACAAAATCAGATCCTTAGGAATATTTGACCACTGTCTTAGATGCGTCATTGTTATGCAAACAGCGGGCTAGCAAGCACCATGACTTCGCGTTTGGGTAACAGTTAGTGCATGCACCTGTTGAAAATCTTTTGGTCTTCACATACATTGTAGTTGTGCCACAGGAGGGTTTTACCGCGCTAGGAAGGTAGCGTTTGCTTAAGTTGATCGGTGTTTCTCTAACGCTCTGCTTTGTATAGATACAATGAGTGGGTGAACGTACAAAATCACTGCAGCCCAACCGGGAACGCATAAACTCGCTGGCTACCTTTCATATCCAGTAAGCGTGTTCCTGGGTGTAAAACGGCCGAACGTACCCATTGGCATCAATAAAGACAACTTGTTAATAGAATAGAAGGCGTAGATCTGACAGACGTGCGGAGAACGGTTTTAGGTCCGTCGGGCTGACACGTGGTAGTGTGGAGTTATCAGAAAGCGGAGTTATCAACGGAAGTAGCTCGGATATGAAGTGCACTCACTCTCACCCACCCCCTGCCTTTCCCCCAACTAAATTGTACTAGCGTTTGAAAGTCCACACGGACCAGCAAAATTAACCCGTGGCAATCACACTGACTGACAGGACCCTTCAAGTGACTTTCAGCATTGGTCTACTGCTAATCTGAAGGGGTCTTACTGACTGGAGTTCCGTCCGCATTAAAACCTGGCCAAATTGGTGACCTACTCACTTCGTCTGATAAAGGTTTTGTGCCAAAAGCGAAATGTTACTCAGTTGAGAACTACCTTCCTGTTTACCAAGCCATTCCGAAACGATGGCTCGCTTACTCCATTACGCCGGTCTCTATGAGGATGAGTCGAATTTATGAATTTGTCGAACTCCATCTGCGTAAGAACGGTGGTAAGATTTCAGGCTCTCACCAATTTCCTCCATTCTTGCTCTCAGTAACAGGCCATAAACTGTCCAATGGACATTGAACGACAGAGCTGATCTTGAAACAATTTTTGGACAAGAACAGGCCTGATTATATAATGACTGGGCTCAGCAGAATGCGTCTAAACCATAGGAGTCGATATTTTTGGAGTAGCCGCTCGGGTTCGCCTTCGCGAGAGCATCGGAGGAAGGTCTGTTACTTCAATGCATGGTCTGGATAACGTAGCCTGAGAATACTCTTCAAAATGGATTCTCAATACACTGAAACACACCGATCAATTTCACAAAAAAGGGAAGCAACTCGGTTGGCCGGTTGATAGAATCGTACTGAAGGCTTCAGATTAATTTGTGCCGAATCGTATGCTTCACTTGCATGACGCTCTCCAGAAAACCGCTCAAAATGATAACTGAGTCTTCCTGCTTGCTGAATCCTATGGGATGGATGACTTGGTCGTTTCTGAGTGTTGTTCAGGAGTCTTCGTTTTCAAGGTGAGATAGCTAAGACTGAACCTTCCTTTGCTTAAGGATTATGGAATAGGATGCCTTCAGGTTAAGTTTTCGCAACTCTCAACGCAAATTCATCAACATCCTTATTGGGTAAGCTTCTAAAATTTCATCCTGTTGGCCGTGACGTTCAAGTCGTGTAACATAGCTGCCTACCTCACCAAAGCAAAGATGATGTTTTCGGAGAAAACAGGTTGAAAACGGTAGGTTGTCTACACTAACATACTGTTGTATGATTTCATCAATGAAGCAGCCCGGACAGCATAATCTTATTAGTTCTGTAACAACTAATTAAATTTTTCAAGAACTTGTGGACAGAACAACATCTGGTGGCATGTTTCGAAAAATACAATGTTCCAAGTGCAAGAATACGAGTAATGAGAAAATGAGAATTGAGCTCTTATTACCTTCTTTATAACGTAAGACCCATAACCGTTTCCACTTTTCAGTCTTATTGGAAAATATGGTCTGACCAATTAATAGGGCAATTAACTCCCTACGTTTTATCCATCCGATATTCCGATATCTAGAAAAATTTCGAAGTGAACACTGTAGTCAACTTTGGTCGATGGTTCGTCTTGGCACACATCTCTATAGAATTTATTGTATCTGGTGATGTAAGGTCTACCTTAGTCAACATACATGAATCACATTCTAAAGAGGCCATATTAGAATAGACCATTTTCGTTTGGTTCACTATAGTCTCTGTCATCGTCTTGGATCTGCCCAAAACGGATCACTTTTATTCGATTGGTTCATGGCGCTCCACTTTAGGCAACGGTAGTAGTTATGCGCCTTGTAGACGAAGTGATGCCATCAAACTTTCAACCACCTCCAACTTTAGTCGGATACGTACCGGCTAGCGCAATGCAAGAGAGCCAGTTCTATGACTGATATATCCTGGTCTTTGTGGACGGAAATTTGCCTCCTGAGGACAGCTAGAAGGGTTTCTCTTTGGGAATTAGGTTAGGGGCTCTCAAAAGGTATCAGTTTCAGGATGGAACTCATAGGAGAGGACGAGGACGATCAGACTCATATCAGAGTGTCCTTGAAGGTTATACTAACTGGAATTTCAGTTACAAATCAATCATTACCGAGTGATCAACCACCATATGATGAGACGGTTCAGGGATAAAGTCAAATTGGTCGCCAATGTCTTAACAAATACGGTCGAGCGTGGCGCGTCCTCAAACTAACCTGCTGTGCGCAGCGATGTCAGTAGTGGGATATTATTGTCATTGCTATCTGTGTTCTCGGAGTAGACCGGCCATACACAGTTAAGTAGATCGGACCTCCGGTCATAGGCTCCATGCGGACTCCGTTGGGAAAATGTTGCTTGTCTTACGGATCATGCTGGCAAGGTGAAAGCTTGAGGTAAAGCACTTGAAATCAACCCAGCTTCCTTGACACTTATTCGCCACTCAGCTCTTAGAAGTAATAGGCAAATTCATCTCTGGAACAAATTAGTCGAAGAACAGCCAATGGGACTATTTGGATAGGTTCCCGCTCCCCAGAAACCTCCCTACAAGGACCGTCGACGAACCACACCGTAGCGGGGTCCACTTTAAAATGCTGGACGTCGTTCAGCACGTCCACACGATTCTGAGAGATGCGGAAAGTGTGAAACGAATCCGGAAATCATTCAAGCTACACAGAGTAAGCACGATGAATTGTACCGAAAACGGACATCACTGAAGCTGTATTTGCCATAGTTGAGCTGAAAAAGTCGACATGAACAGTCACTTTGACGAGAATTACGCTGTACTTTGACCACCGGTTTGTCAGAATGATGGCTTTTAACAGAGACCTGAAAGGATCGTCCATTCATTTGCTCAAGAATCTCGAACCCGTAGAATGAGCTTCGTGGAATCCCTGCGTGGGCTTATAGTGAGAGCTACACGAAACAAGGTGGTAAAATTCAATCGTTTGAAGGTAGGCCCCCAATATAGGGCACTGGTAAAAAGTTTGGGATGACAAATCCAGTGGCAGCAATCAATTAAAGACATCCGGACGGGGTCATTAGGTTGTCATTTTTGAACATATCGAAGAAACGCTTCTCTAGATTGTTGAAGTGCGCAACAACAATCAGGTGAGATCCACCAAACCGAAGGCCATAGCGCTCGTAGAAGACCCATGTTGGCGCAGTCTGAAAAGGAATTACGGCGCCCCACTAGTACATTCGCGTTTGCGTCATTTCATTTCGACTTAACTATATAAATTATATATATATATATA